GACTTGGCCCGCAGACGACACCCACCACCTATGGCCGCATCTCCCCAATCTCAATCGCCATGAGCATTGGGATATTATTCTTGTTTTTACCGGCAGAGTGCCCACCCGCTTCTCGCGCAGAGTTTGCCCAGATGGGACCTTGGTGTCTCGAGAAGTGCCGAAATTCACGGACATCGAAAAAGCCGTCTCCCTTGTGAGAGAGGCAGACTAGATGCGCTGGGCGGTGCTCTTCGATCGCGAATTGTCTTCATACGAGGCCACCTTCGACAATGAGTCGGTTATTGCCTGGGTTCATACAGACGAGAGAATAATCATTGATTGGAATCACAGGCCAATATTGGAGACCGCGATCCAAGATCGAGTTATATCCATCCCGTGGGATGAAGACGGGAGGTTCCTTTGTTGCCGATGCCACTGGGCGAGGACAGGTTTTGCCAATTGTCCTGTCTGTAATTGTCCGTCAAATACAAATACAGGGTCACGCGCGATTACATGACCCAGACATGGGTGCGCAAAATTATCCCGCAGTCCCTTGAGGCACACGGCCTCTTCATAGCAGTGAACCATGAAGAAACTTTGTCATGGGATCGCCACGAATATATACAAGCGCGGATAAAGAGGCAAGGGAGAGCGTCTGCCAATGTTACGAATAACGTCAACAACAACAATCCGCAGGAGCGAAGATGGGCCTCCGGGCAATTTGCTACAATGGCGGCCGCTGGCGCGATATTTGGCATTAGCCAGCCTGGAAATCTTCCAGCTTGGATCCCAGCATGCGCCGAGGTTCAGCCTCCGGCGCGACATGCTCCTTTCTTCCAATATTTGAAGCCTTTGGTCAAGAGGTTATATAGTTGCTTGAATATTCGGCCAGAAACGTAAGTAGGCAAACCCCGCCCATTAATACGTGGTGGCCGAGATTGCGGGGAACTAAGTTTGACCAATACGCTCGCCCGAGATCCTGCCCAGCCTTGCAGGCATTTCATTGGCCTGATGAAGATGATGACTTAGTCACTCCTCGAATCGGCTGGGAAAGATGGTTCGCCAACGTGACTAGAGCCAGCATCTTCGTTCCGACACTTGCTACAGTAGATGGCGCGGTAGAGTTCGGCAGACCTTTGGTTCGGCGTATTGAACGAGGATAGTGGAAACAACGCCGACAACGACAACCCTCCTGCGAGGTTACCAGTCGCCTGGGAGAACAATTTTAGAGCGAGGCCGACTCGCAGTTCTCAGTCTGTTTCAAGACGGATTAGCATGTGTCGGGACCATCGTCTTATTGTCCCCGTGTTGCGACATGCCACCGGCGCAGCCGCGATGACACGCGAACAGTCACAAATGGATCTGGATCTCAAAGCAATCAGCGGGCCTAAGGCCGCGTTGATAACTGACGGATTCTTCGCTCGACCATTCTGAGGAACACGTATACTTTCACCACGACGACCCTTTGATCAAAATAAGATTGCTCGGGAGAGAAGTTCGAGAAATTGCCGCCACCTACATAATAGAACGCATGGGGATAAATCCTACTAACCCCGGCAGGGTTACCCTGACCGGAACGGCAGAATACGTGATCCCGGAGATCATCCAGACCATAGTAGATGACAATTGGTTAGTACCAGTACAACAACTGCAGCTGGGCCTTCGGCCCATAAGCATTTTCGCAATTGTTCGTGAGATAGTTAGTTATTTCATATCGGAAGAGCACTTTATTGGTTACCCGGGGCGAATCATTCGCCCCGAAATGGTGAGCACGGATGAAATTGATTCAAAGGAACGGACCGACGAGCATGCCTTGGACTGCCGCATTCGCGCGGCTGTTAAAACGGACGATATCATAGAGAGGTGGGCCCACAATATGGGCAGGAGAGTACAAAACCACGTCCGTTGCCACGGTGCTCTCATACAGGGCGCCATTTCTTGGCTACAGGATAAGTATCCTGACCATGGTGCTGGACTCCAGGGTGAAGTTTATGGACCTTTCCGCACTGCATGCGGAACATATGGTGTCGCTGCAGCAACTTCTGCCAGAAGTATAATACAATTGATGAACGATCGTAGGAAAAAAACGATCCTGAACACGACAGCGAAGCCGAAATCGCGGGGCCACATGCGCCGGCTGGACCAAAGGCCAGACCGTCATCGCGCCCGCCGCCTCTTCGACCTGGCATCTCAGACGCTCAGGTACCGGAAGAAGCTACCGGGTCCCCCCGTTCAGTCGCCGGCTCAGCCGTGACGACCAGGGAGACAAACCCACAACATCCCAACACGGGGGATCGGTCGGAATCACGACGCGCGCGCGATGCTGCCATGGATGCTGCCGCTAGCGCTGACATGGATGCTGCCGCCGGCGCTGCCATGGACGCCGCCGCAGGTGCAGCCGCGGACGCTGCCGGCAGCGATGCAGGCAACAGCTACGAGTACGGCCGTTCCAGGTCCTACCCGCGCTACGTGAACGGAACCCTCGTCCGGTACTACATCCGCCGTAACAGGGTCACGTGGCGTACCGACGCTGAGTGGTGCACTCTGAATTACTGGCACCAGCTATCAAAATGAGAGCACGATTTCCACTTCCCGCCGAGAGGGGCGGCACCGATGAGCGACACTGAAAGAGAAAGAGGGCGGTCTCGCACGCCTCGTGGCGTAGACGCGCAGACGGGAGGATCGGCGCCGTCAAATCCGCCGCCTCCGCCGCCGCCCAGACGAGAGAATGAGCACAACCCGTGGAAGGACCTGAACTGAGTTTCGCCCGCGTGACTCAGTCGCGGCAGGCGCATGCGAAACAATTTACCCACGCGCGGAACGCGTGTTGGGCGCGGGCACCCCTACTGGTCGGCTAAGCCGGTCCAGCGGAGAGAATTTATTTAATCACAACGGTGGGAAACGTCGAGCCTCTTCGGCCCTTGGCCCTCTGGCAGCCACCGCTGAGCTGTAAAAGCTTTTTCGGGTTGGCTCCGGTGGTTGTGCACATGTACAGGCCGGGGGTGCTGTGGCTGGATGGGCTCTACGCGGCCCGCCGCGGGGGGAGTAAATGTGCTCCTCTCCGCCTCATAATATCAATTAAGACATAACTTAGTTTGCATGCGTCGCACCGTCCGCTGGAACTGACAGCTGCGTTCCGAAGCTGTATGACTGCTCGAGCAAGCCAACCTTGGCTTGCAGGAGAGAAAAGGAGTGCGCTGGGTCGCGCGGGCGGCTCGTCGTCGTCCGTCCCTGGCCGGCCTCCCCCCTTCACATTCTCGTTAGAGTAGTCTTGCTTAGCGGATACTTGTTTTATCAATGTCTCATCCCGTCCCCTCTCTCCCTGAGCAGAGTGAACATGAGATCTTAATTCCTTTGTCATCTTACCCCGATTCTCAGAGGAAAGACTGATCTCCTGATGGGGGTATGTGGCTGCAGGTAATTATAAAGAGCCCAGCGGCACCGCCGGTAGTTTGTCTCTTCGGACGGGGGCCCGAAGTCGGTTCGTGAAGCTATTGAGTTCCTAGAGCCTTTGGCTTCAGCAGCCGCTAATCCAATTAATCCAGTCTGTCCCGGCCGCGTGGCCGATGGATCCGACAGCGATCGGTTGGCTCGCAGCCTCAGTCCGGGTAGGTACTCTGTGCCTCATGCCGTGGTTATTTGTCATCGGGTGGCTCCCGAATCACGTTTTCAGGTGACCACTCTGTCATATTGGCTGGCTGGTCAGTGGGAGATCGCGGAGCGCTCCCCTGTCCCAGAGCACTCGGCACGAGCGTCCAGCTGCTCCCGCGCCCCCCCCTTCGTCCTGCCTTTTCCGTCTCCTGCCACTCCCTCCTCGCCTGCCACCCTGATCTGGTGTTGCCGATGGCGCCGCCCAGGCTGAACTCGCGCATGGGAGGCTTTCGGCCTCGCCCACTGCCCAATGGCCGGGCCTCCTCAGGTCCGCCCGGCCTCCGGGGCTTCTTGGAGGCTCCGCTGGTCGGCTCCAAGGCTCGGTCAGGCGGCGGGTCCCGCATATACAAGATATTTAGCTTACCAGTTCGCTTACATTGACTTTGCCTTGGCGGTGGGGTCGCCCCGTTTTGGAGTGTCTCGTTTAATCTTGGGCGATCTATTAGGTTCATGTGGTCATTCACGGAGCTTGGGCTCTGATTTATGGGTATGCAGTTCTGCCAGCTTCGCAAGACTCCGACTGCGTGCAACGGCTCGCCTATGGCAGGTTGGCCTGAGCGCTGCTCCAGATGTTTTTTTGGACTTACCCGCTTCCTTCCCCCTCCTCCACTTCCTCCTCCTCGTCCTCCTCCTCCCTCTTCCTTTCCCCTCCGCCCGAGTCCGGGGCCATTGCAGGTTTTGTGCCTCCATGTGTGCACTGCTGCCCCGATGATGGTCAGGATAGCCCCCTTGAGGGGCAGCGGATCGGGCGGGCTGCGCGCTGGGAGAAAAAAGGAGGAGGAAGGTGAGGAAGAGAGGGAGGGGCTGGAGGGAGGAGGGATGGAAGAGGAAGGGAGGAGGATGGGATCGGCTGTCCGCGGAAGTGCCCGCACGCGAGCAGTTGCCAGGGGGGTCAGGCCTTGAGGAGAGTCACAGCCTAAGCGGGCTCAAAGTCCCCCAGGGCAGGAGAGGGTGCGTGGCGGAGATTGGTCCATAACCTCCGCTTGAGGTCGGCGGCGAGCGAGGGGGGGAAGTGACAAGGTGGAGGCCCCCTCAGAAGGCCGCGGGGCTTCTCAGAAGGCCTCCGGCCTTTGACTTCGGGGCAGGCCGTCTGATTTCGGGGAAGGTTCAGAACACTTTTCGGAAAGCCAGGGGACTTCCGAGCCTTCTGAGATGGCCTGCCCCTCGCCGCCACCGCCGCAGCCGCCGCCCCCACCGCCGCCGCCCCCACCGCCGCCGCCGCCGCCGCCGCCGCCGCCGCCGCCGCCGTCGTCGTCGTCGTCGTCGTCGTCGTCGTCGTCGTCGTCGTCGTCGTCGCTGCCGCCGCCGCCGCCGCCGACGCAACCACCGTTCGCCGTCGTTGTATCCCTGCCTCCGCCTCCCTGGCGCAGGCTGCCAGCCTTCGAGTCCCCAGAGCTGTCCCTGTTCCTCCGCCAGAAGTTCGGGTCTGGGACCGAGGCCAGGCCCCTCCTTACACAAAATGCTGCAACGCATCCCTAAACAAAGAACACAGGTCCGCGCGAGTTTCTTGGATCAGCACTGGGATCCCCGTGGCGGAGCCTGCCGCGCAACCCATGGCACGTTCTGCGCTGTGGGGAGGGTGGTCCAGAGCCGATCCAAGCAATCCGCGCGGACCTCCGACAGTTTATGTGTACTAGTTTTCCTTCTTCCATGAGAAGGGGGCATTGGTACAAAACACATACACATACACACACGCAAAGTGTGGTTTGTTCAGACCTTGGGAGATATTTGAGAAGGGGGGAACACTTATTCTTAATTGTTTTGAAGATTGGGGTGCTTTGAGTTGTCCTGATGTGTCTGTCACCCTGGGCCCCATTTATTCAACTCCTGAGCGTGGGGCTTGGGCAGCAGGGTGCCCACGCCTCCAGCATGTTGAGCACATGATGCGGAGGTGTTTTCCGGATGTTCGGCCTCTGGGCCTTCGCCCGGCCCCCGGGGCCGTGAAAGGGCGGCTTAGGACGGATAGTTGACCATTCGGGACACACCGGTAGTTGAAAGTAGGTATTTGGGGATGTCCAGATCCCAATCTATTTCAAGCGCCTTCTTACGTCAGGAGTCGGCATGCTTTCTGGTGTGTTCTACTGTTCTTCGGGAGGGCCCGAGGCCAACCTATTTCAGCTGCCTCCCGACTTCATGCTTCCATATACTTCTTCCGTTTGCCAAATACAGGGTCGGGATTGCGGGGCCGCGGAAGCAGGGCAACGGCATCGGGTCTCAGGGAGCCACAAGCAGCATGCGCGTGCGCTTTTCGCGGGTCTACGTGGATCTCGAGCGCCAGCCCCAGACCCCTTATCGTTCCGCACTTCGTGGCATGAGGCATGATAAGTGCAGCCCCTGTTGGCACAGCCTTCTCCTCTGTCCTGAATCCAGGGTCGCTACAGTCAGGCCACGGGCACCGACAAGGTTGCCCAGACCGTTCTTTTGTATCGCGCGTCGTATACTTTAACGGTCCTTGGGCCCGCGACGGGCCTCCAGGGTCGATGATTTTCAGGACGTGTGCTTGCCCCATGTTCGTTTACCACGTTCATCTCCACCGACAGCACGCACCCTGTGTCGGCCCTCATTACACCGCCTGCGCAGTATTGAATGGCTTCGGTGGGCAAGTTCCCGTTGGTGCTAACACGTGTCCTGCGGATCATCGACAGAGTCCTGAGAAGCTTTGCCTTTGGGTGCGCTCCGGCCACCAGAAGATCGAGGGAAGTGCAGCCACCGTGGCGACCCGAGCCTCCCAGGAAACCAAGAATCGGAATAATTGATCAAACACATGTATCGATCCATCCCCTCCCTCGATCCTCCTGCTCCACCCTCGATCCTGCTCCCTCGTTTTCCCTACCTCCTGGCTCACCCTGATCCCCCCCCGATCTTCCTAGCGATCCCCCTCGATCGGCCTCGATCACCCGCGATTCGCCGATCCTCCACCTCTTCCCTCCCCAGAGATCTGTTGTGACGACTGTACATCCCCCGAAGTCCCGACCCTTTTCGCAGAGCCGCGTTTCCATCCCGAGCCGTTTCTTGATGGCCCCGGGGGCCCGGGGAGGGTTCCATGGAGGCCAGATCAGGGCGCATAGTGTCCAGAGGCTAGCCGTGCGGGCCACAACTCGGGCCTCGGGCCTCTGGCGGCCGGCCGGGACGAGCCAGGCCTCCCCAGACCACTCTCGGTGAGGCCGCGTGCAGCTGTGGGCGAGGCATCCCGAGGCGAGAAGACCCCGGGTGGCCAACGGAAGTCTGCGAAACCCTCATCGAGGATGCCCAGGCCCCAAACGTTTTGTGGGGCGGGATGGGCTCAGGGGGAACGCATCGACCTCCGATCGCCGATTCAGTGCCGATAGTAGTGCGATGACCCACCCCGCCCGGGAACCTGCGGAGTCGCCATTGAGAGCCCATCGCGGATCTGTCGGTTATGTATCGCCGATGTAAGGTCGATGCTTCCCTCCTGAGCCGGTCCCCTCCTAACGTTGCCCTCAATTTCGGCGCGGCACGTTTTCAGTGTTCCGAGTGTTTCCAGACCTTCCAGTGCGACGCGTTTTCCGACTCGAATGTAACCTCAGGGCGACACGCGATCGGTTTCGGAGGCATGGGGTGCCGCACGGACCATCGCCGCGACGCGCTACGTGACATTTCCTGACCGTAACAACTGATCTGTTTGGGCGACGTGGAAGAACTCGGCGGGCGGGCTCCCCCCTGCCGTTGACCCTCGCCCCCTCGGCCCCTCCCCCTCCCAGCGCGCGTCCGAGCAAGCGGGCGCGCGCGCTGCGGCGGCACGTGCTCTGGGCCCTCGCGTGTTCGGCAGCGGGAGCAGGAGGAGGGGAAGGCGTATTGGCGCCTCATGCGCATGTGCGCCTGCGGCTTGCCCAACAACAGGGACAGGAGGAGGGGCAAACACAGGAGGAGGGAGGAGGAGAAGGAGGATGAGGAGGAGAAACAGGAGGAGGAGGAAGAGGAGGAAGAGGAAGATAATAAGGAGAAGGAGAAGGAGAAGGAGAATGAGGAGCAGGAGGAGGAGGAGGAGGAGACGGAGGAGGAGGAGGGAGGAGGAGGAGGAGGAGGAAGAGGAGGAGGAGGGAGGAGGAGGCTTGAGGGAGAGGGAGGAGGAGGTAATTAGGAGGAGGAACAGGAGGACGGGTAATAGGAGGAGAAGGAGGAGGAGGAGGAGGAGGAGGTGGAGGAGGAGGAGGAGGATATGGAGGAGGAGGAGGTGGTGGTGGAGGAGGTGGAGGTGAGGAGGAGGAGGAGGGAGGGAGGGGAGGCAGAGAAGGATGGAGAAACATGGAGGAGAGAGGGCGAGATAGAGGCATAAAGCTGGAGAAGAGAGGATGAGGAGCAGGATGGAGGAATATGGAGGAGAAAGGAGGAAGAACGAGGAGGGTGGAGGAAGATAAAGGAGGATGGAGGGGAGAAGGGGGAGGAGGAGGAGGTGGAGGAGGATGAGGAGGAGAAAGAAGAGGAGGTGCAGGAGGAGGAGCAGGAGGAGGAGGATGAAGAGATGCAGATCGAGGAGGAGGAGGAGGACGAGGAGGAGGAGGAGGAGGAGGAGGATGGAACAGGAGACGGAGGAGGAGGATGAGTAGGAGGAACAGGAGACGGAGGAGGAGGAGGAGGAGGAGAAGGAGGAGGAGGAGGAGGAGGGACAGGAGGAGGAGGCGGAGCAGGAGCAGGAGACGGAGGAGGAGGAGGAGGAGGAGGAGGAGGAGCAGGAGGAGCAGGAGGAGGAGGAGGAGGAGGAGGAGGAGGAGGAGGAGGGAGGGAGAGGGGGAGAGGGAGGAGGAGGAGGGACGAGACGAGGAGGGACCAGGGAGAAAGGATGTGTCACTTGACCTGGACGAGTTCATGTCTCTCATGCAGCCCTTTCATCCTTTAGCTGGCGCCTCGCAGGCAAACGAGCCATTGCGGCTGACGTCAAACAAGAGAAGGAGAAGGAGGATAATGAGGAGGTTGGATGAGGAGGTGAAGGAGGAGGAGGAGGAGGAGGAGGTGGAGGCGGAGGAGGATAATATGGAGAAGGAGGATGATGAGGAGGAAGAGGCAGAGGAGGCGTAGGATGAGAGGTGGAGGATGTGGAGGAGGAGGGGGAGGAGGAGGAGGAAGAGGAGGAGGAGGAGGAGGAGGGAGGGCGAGAAAGAGGAGGAGGAGGAAGGGCGAAACGGATGAGGAGGATGAGGAGGTGGCCGAGGAGGAGTCGGGGGATGAGGAGAAGGAGGAGGAGGAGGAGGAGATGGCAGAGAAGGAGGAGGAGGAGGAGCAGGAGGGGAGGAGGAGGAGCAGGAGAAGGAGGAGGAGGAGCAGGAGGAGAAGGAGGATGAGTTGGGACGAGGATCATGAGGAGGAGGAGGAGAAGGCGGAGGAGGAGGTGGAGGGGGAGGAGGAGGAGATGGAAGAGGCGGAGGTGGGATTGAGGGAGAGGGAGGAGGAAGTAGGAATATGAGTAGGAGGGAGGGAGAGAATGAGGAGGCGGAGGAGGAAGAGGATAATGAGGCAGGGAGAGAAGGATGGAGGAAGATGGAGGAGGGAGTGAGAGAGAGAGAGAGAGGCAGGACGATGGAGGAGGAAGGAGGAGGATTGAGGAGGATTGAGGAGGATGGGCGAGGGGGAGGAGGAAGAAGAGGAAGAGAAGGATGAGGAGGAGTCGGAGGAGGAGGAGAAGGAGGAGGAAGATCAGGATCAGGAGGAGGAGGAGGAGGGGGAGGAGAGGGGAGGGAGGATCTCCTTCCCAGCGTGCTCCTGCGCCGACCGGCTCGCGGCCCCCGCCTTCCCCTCTCGAAGAAGGCCTCCATCGAGCGACCGACGGTGGCGACTGGCTACCGGGCGCGGCTCGACCTGACGGCGTGGGAGGTGCGGCTGCTCGAGGGCCAGGAGCGGCGGGGGGGGGGAGGGGGAGAAGTGGAGAAGTGGAGGGGGAGGGGGGGGATCAGGGGTACCGCGAGGGGGGGATAGGCATCGGGCGGGATGTATCGGCCCCCAGTCGCCCATTGATCGCCGATATGGTCCCGATAGTCCCAACCTGCCCAGGGATGTACGGTTTCGCTATCCGGGGCCTACCGCCGATCGATCGGCGATGTAGCACCGATTCCAGGTCGGTGCATCCCCCCTGTGCCAGTCTCCCCCTATCGTGGCCCCCCAGGGAATGGGGGGGGCGGCGGGAGGGCGGGGGGGGAAGGAGGGAGGAGGCGGGAGGCGGGGAGGCGGAGGGGGCAACACAGGCCGGCAGCAGACGCCAACAAAAGACATTTCGGCGGGACGCCCCCACCCTTTTGGCCGGCCTTTCCTTCTTATAGCGGCTCCTCGTTCCTTCCCTCTCGCGCCGGCGGCCAGCCCTTCTCGCCCCCTCTGGCGGGCCCCTCCTGTCGTTCGTCAGAGCAGGCGTCGCGGACCGCCGACCCCCGCATGCACCCCGTCGAAGGAGGTTTGCGCTCGTGAGTGAGGCTTCGGGGAGTCATGGCACCCGGCCCCTATCAGCTGAACAGCGAACAGGTGGGTGACAAAGAAGAATCGGTGACCGAAAGCGTGCCCGAAGTTGTGACCGAAAGCGTAATGTGACCGAAGATGTGACTGGCCAGAGAATTTCGGGCGCCAGACTCGGTCGCATTCGGGCCGATCTTCGGGCACAGTTTCGGCCCCGACGCCTTCTGATAGAGACGAGGCTACGCGAGGACTGGTGGGAGCGCCCTGCGGGGGATGGGTCGGGTAGGGCCTATCGTTCGGGGCCCTTGGGGGGGGTGCTTGCCGGCCCCGCGCTGGCGCTGGCTTGGGTTGTCGCCCGCGTTGCAGCGTGAGGTTGGCCCTGCCGGGCACCGCTCGGGGGCCTTCCCGCGGAGTTGTTCCTTCCCTTGTGCGGTCGTAGGAAGCCGGCCCTGCCTCCGCCGAACCGCTCGCGGGGGGTCGTCCTGAACAGTAGCCGAGTTCTGTTTCGGTTGGGGTTTCAAGTTGTATTTAGGCCACGCGCAGAGGTGGGTAAATTAATTCCGGGTAGGGGGGAAGGCTTTCCAGAAGGAGGCTGCTTCTTGGAAGGCGCGGGCCTTGTGTACAGATGTAGGGCCAGCGCTTTTTACAAAACCACCTCCTAAGATGCCCGCCAGCCTCCCCATCCCCCCTTGTGCGCGCCGCCAACTAGTGGCGCTGGTTTTTGGTCAGCGTTTGTCGGTCACCTGGTGTGTGTTCGGTAGGCGTTGGCCCCCCATCCCTCCTCTTGTCCCAGTCTACAGCTGGGCAGAGGAGAGAGTCCTTGTCGGGGAGGGTTTGCTGGGGCAGGGTGCCTGCCGGGGCGTAGCAGGTTGAACGTGCGACAGGCTGTCAGAGGCATAGAAAGGAAGGCATGGGAGTGACAGACACAGTATTTGCCACACTTTTTGGGCTGCGGGGCGAGGGCGAACCTCTTCCGGTAAAAGCTAGACGGGCTACGCACAGCTCGAATTGGGAAGACAGGGCACAGGCGGGCGGGGCCTCAGGCGGCCGGAGGGCGTGCCGGGGTGCAGGCGGCGCCGAGGAGCTTGCACAGGAAAAGGAACGCCTTGGACAGGGGCCGGAGGCGAAGATCAGGAGGGTGAGCGGTGTGGTGTGTTGCCATCAACGGCGCTCCGTAAACAATTGCTGCATGGTTGGACGTTGTACGCGACCGGGTCGACGTCCAGGGGGGGAAAGTCCACCATGAAGGCGATGAGCAGCGTTGTGCCACCGGATGGTGAGGAGGGGGCCCAGAGGAAAAGGAGGACCACGAAGGCGATGTGAAGCGTTGTGCCACCGGGTGGTCAAGCGGCCTGGGGTGGTAGTCCAATCCACGTCCAGGGAGCAGCCAGCGCGCGAAGGCGGGCGGGTGCCACGCGCGACGCGCTGACGTCCGCATGGCCGAGGGCTGGGCCTGAGCCGCGCAGCGCCGAGACGAGCGGGGCCGCCGAGGCGGCAAGGTGCAGTGCCCAGCACCGGGCCGAAGCCGCGCTGTGCCGGGCGCTGTCGCCACGGGAGGGGGGGGGGGGGGGCGAAGCGAACAGGCCGCAGCCGAAGTCGCGTCAGCCTGCGCCGAAGGTGCTCACGTGGGGGGCAAACCCCCATGGGTGCAGGTAGGACACAAGGCCCCAATGCAGGTAAAGACAAGGCGTGCGAAGCATCGCAGATGGGCACAGGTGGGACACAGGGTCCCAGATCCTTGAATACGGGAGAGGGGAGGGGAGGAGGAGGAAAAGACGGGGTCCAGGTGGAATGGCAACTAGCCGTAGCCCATGGAACGCGGGCGCCACTGGGGCAGCGGGGCGCAGGTGGGGGGGTAGAGGAGGACCACGGTCCCCAGCCAGAGGAGAGACGCGGGGTGGGGCTCGGGGCGCAGGTGGTTGGAGAGAGGGGCTGGTTGTGTCGTGCTGCCGTTGGTCAAGGGGGGGTCAGGTCGACGGCTGGTCAGCGCCGTGGGCGCTTTGCAGCCCAGGCGCCATGGTGCCCGGAGCTGCGCGCATGGTCCCCTTCGCGCCCGTCACCCTTAGCGATTTCTTCTTTCCTTTGTACGTCCTGGTATAGCCTCTGCTCCCGCCCCCAGTCCACGTGGACGCCTGCGCTGCGGGGCCGCGCCTCCACGCGATGGTTGTTGGTGCCCATGTCATCCAGGAATTTGTCGATGATCCAACGTTGCCAGCGGCCCGGGTCGAAGGGGGCCTGGTCTTTGGATGTGTTTTTGCCCTGTGCTCCCTGCACATATGCCTGCGCCACGAATGCCAGGCTGTGTTGAAGTGGTATCCCCCCTCCGCTTGCGGCCTCTTCAGGCGCGTGACTGCGTGCTGTCTCGTGTGGGAGGCGCTGCCAGCCAACGCGGAAGGTTGCCCGCGTCCGGCTGGCGTCGGCGTGGCGGCGATCGTCTTTGCGATAAGAGTTGCGCAATTCTGGCTGGCGCCAGGGTGCGCTCCCTGCGCCCCTGCCAGTGTCGTGGTTCTGGTCCCAGTAGCGCTCCTTGGTCCTGTCCCAGTCCCTGGCGTCGTGTTTGCGCCGCGGTGCCCCCGCTGCGCCCTGGTTGCGGTCGCGGTCGCGGTCGTGCTCTCCTGCGCGGGCCCGGTCGGCCTCTCTGGATTCGTGCCTCACCGCCGTCGCGCACGATTCCCAGGCAACTGGCTCCCGCACCCTGCCGCGCGAGCGTTCGAGCTGGTCTGCAGGGAGGGTGAATGCAGGTCGTGGGCCCTCCGGGCCTTTGGACCGCTCCGCGCGTGCAGTTTCCGGTCGTCGGCCGCGGCCTCTGGGCGCACGATCGGCTCTGCGGGTGCGTGGGCGGCCTTCTGGTCGGTATTGCATGGGTCGTGCTCGAGACTGCTGCGCCGCTCGTTCCGAGGATTCGTCATGGCTTGGTGCTCTTCGACTGTGTCCGAGTCTGAGGTGAGGAGACCAGATGGACTGCGCTCTGGGCCTCGGCGAGGCGCAGCTTCTGCTCTTGTGCCTGGTCGTCATTGGTCCAGTCGGGGTCCCCCTCCTTAGGGGGCATGAGGGGTTCATGTCCGATGGTGGAATCCCGCGTGTCTGCCTGTGGCGAGTAGGGCTCGAGCTTGGGTCCGTCCTGCATTCCCCCTGAGGACGTCGCTTTATTTCCCCCGGTGTCGATGCCGAGCATGGGACTGTCGCGGAGCGCCAGAGCGCTGCGTCTCCGCGGGGGACGTTTACGCGTAGCGTCCTGTCACCGACGCCCCATACTTCCAGCCACTCGCCGATCTGCACGAGTTGAGTCCGCCCTTCCTGTTCGCGGGCCAAGACACTGAGGACGGGTCCGAATACTGTTCCATCCAGGGGCTGAGTCGATCTGGGCCCGGCGCAGTCCGCAGTGCTGAACCACTTGGCGCGGGTGAGGGCATCTTCCTGATGACCACGTGGTCGCCGCACTGGATGACCCGGGTTGTCCGTTGCAGTCGGACACAAGGAGTCCACGATGGGCGTGTCCAGGACTCGCCCTTGCTGCCTGTCACGGCTGCCGGGGGGGGTCAGGTGTCGCGCCGACGGCTGGTGGCGCCCCGACGGACTTGGTAGCTGTGGGCCCTGTGGCTGGCTGGGCCGGGGTCGGCTCGTCGCCACGCGGAGTGGGCGGGAGCGAATGGGGAAGGGGTGAATCGCCACCGTGAGTGGGCGGGATGGGTGTCGGACGCGCGCCCGCTCGGGGGGTGGTGTGCTGCTGGGCCCCGCTGGCGGTCGCGCTTCCTGTGAGTGGCTGGGCGGAAGCCACGGCGCCGGGATCCCGGGCGAGGGGTGGCAGTGCAGCTGGGCGGCGGTCATAGTAGCTGCGCTCTGCCTCGTCCCAGGCGGCCGCGCGTCGCAGCGCCTCTTGGTTGGGGCGTGCTGCGCCGTCTGACGATGAAGCGGGGATGCCTGGCAGCGCGGGGAGGGGTCCGGCTCCTGCTCTTGGGTGTACGTCGGGGCCGTATTTGTCGAGTACCCGGCTCGCTGCTGACGGGGCCATGTCCCGTTGGTGGACCAGGCGTTCCTTGCAGTGCCAGCCCGCATGCCAGCGGCTGGCCAGGAACATGCCCCTCAACAGCTGCACGGGTGGGAGCCCGTGGGCCAGGTTGTTGCCGTCGCGGAGGCTTTCTGGATCCGCGGCGTGCCCATGCATGCCAGGGCGCGCCTGCCCTGGCCCACACCTGTGTCCCTCTGTGCCACAGGGGCAGCCATCGCATCGCCAGATGCCGACACTCTCCCTGTAGAAATGGGAGATCAGGCGGTCGTCGTTCGCGATGCTGGCTGGGGTTTCAGGTTGCCTTCCAGTGGGACCAGTAGCTGGTCCAGGGGCATTCGGGCCGTGGGTGCGGACGTCGGACACAGCCCTGGAAGGGCGCGCGTTGCTCGGACAGGCATGTCGTCGGGGCGGTCGTTGATCCAGCTCTTGAAGTCCACGTCGT